GGGGGGGGGGGGGGGGGGGGGGGGGGGGGGGGGGGGGGGGGGGGGGGGGGGGCACACGCACAGCGGAACACCCGGGTAACGGCCAGGCTGACATGGGGCTCCGTCTCGCCGGGCAGACGGAAAAGGTCCGGGAGGGCGTCGCTCCGCGCGCCAGAGCGGGCACTCGCAAGCAGCAGCGGCAGGCAGCCACTGGAGGAGGGAGGGGAGGCAGTGGGGGAAAGTGAGTGAGAGGGGTCGCCGGGGCAGTGGTGGCAGCGGCGATGGATAGGAAGAGAGGGGGGGGGGGAGGATGCGCACGGCTGGAGCTGGGAATGGAAGACCGATTGCTGGACCACCGGATTGGAGTCAGCGAAGGAGGATTCCTCACTTTCGGTGCCCGAGTCGCTGTTATCGGTGCTGCTGCTGCTGCTGCTGCTGCTGCTGCTGCTGCTGCTATCGGAGCTGCTATCGGAGCTGCTGCTGGAGCTGTTGCTGCTGTCGGAGCTGACACGGTTGCCGGCATTGCCGGTGTCAGAGGAATCACCAGCCAGGCTATCATCAGGAGAGGAAGTGGAGCCGGAGCCGGAGCCGGAGCCGGAGCCGGGGCCGGTGAAATTGGAGCCGAGGCCGGAGTCGGGAGAATACCCCGAGCGATCGGGGGATGGATCGTCGACGTCCATGCGGTTGCTGCTGTTGCCGCCTGAGCTGGCACCAGCCGACGCCATGCCTGCGGTGGCGGCGGGCGCCGTGATGACGGCACTAGGGGTGGGAAGGGCAGCAACAGGAGCAGCGATGGCGGCGGCGGCGGCGGCGGCGGCGGCGGCGGCGGCGGCGGCGGCGACCACAGTGGCACTGACAGCCGTAGGGCCGGCGATGATGGTGGGCGCGCTGATGGCTGCCATGGCCGTGGGAGTGGTGGCGACGGCAGAGGCGGCGGCATTCGGCAGGATCGCGCACGGGCATGGGCGTGAATGGGCGGAAACGACTGGGCGATACGACGAGAAAGACGAGGGGAGGAATTCCGCCGCCGGAGGAGGAACCCGGGGTGCGAGAGCCGACGGAGTGGAGGGGGGGAACCAAAAGGGCAAGAAAGGGAGAGAGAGAGGGAGAAAGTGGGGAGGACGAGCGCACTGTCGAGAGTCGAAGCTTGACTTGCCTCCTGGGGCAGGAGCTCCGGCGAGCGCTGCTCAATCTCCCTCAGCAGCTGGGAAATATTTTGCGAGGCGAAGTTTCCCGAGAAGAGGGAGTCCGAGCAGAAGAGGGCTTGGGAGATGCTTTCGGACCCCTCAGGGGCAGGGGGCGTGGCGGTGTCCGGCGATGACGCGTCCACGGTCGAGGCGTCGGGGAAGGCTCCTGTCCCGGGGCTTGCCGAGGGGGTGGCCACCGGCGAGGAGGCCGCCGATTGGAGGCCAACCATGGGCGAGGAGTTTGGCGAGTCCCGCGCGCTGGACGAGACGGACACGGCGGACGAGGAGGAGGAGGAGGAGGAGGAGGAGGACTCCGTGTCGGAGGAGGAATCGACGCTCGACGGGGTATCCGCGCTGGAGGATGGCACGAGGCGCGAGATGAGCACCTGTGAGCGATTACGGCGGGAGGCTGGCCCCCGAGGGTGGGGGCTCTTGCCTGCGCTACGCAAGCCGAACCGCCGTGGTCCCATCGCGCGATCAGGGGGGGGGGGGGGCGGGACGAGGGAGGGACCTC